AATTTCTACATGTATATCTATCCTCTCTGTATTATAGGGATAAACAGATCATAACAAGACAACAAAACAAATTCCTAGAAAAACATGCAATGAAAAAGACACATAAGACCACAATATTAGGTGATCTACCATAGTTACTATGCTTTCTCTTGTTATTTTCAATAGACTTGTGCACATCATCAGGCTTAATATAGTTAAGCATAGCATTACATAGCTATTTTTATAAAAACATAACTTTGAAAACACTGTAGGACTTTGAGAGCGGTTAATAATCAAAACTGGTATGGATATCTTTTACATCTTTGTCATCTTCAGAGTAGTTGTCTCTATTCTTAGACTTAATACTATCAAGCATACCAAATTCGAATAAAATCAGCCAAGGCAAAACCACGGTCTAACAAACCAGATTGAAATAAGATCAGTCATAGTAAGACAATGTAAGTAATACAGGGTTTTAGTTTAAGTTAATAGGAAATTAAGGATAGTTACCATGGTATAACCTGCTATTTTTGGGATAGATGTCTGGACCCTCAAATCTGGTATGAATGGACCAGAACAAAATAAATTCAAACTAAACAGACTGATAAGACTATTGTGAGTTTTAAATCCTGACACACTATTAACAATGACCCCTGCCTTCCTATTTTAGGCTATTTTTCACCTTTCTTCTGCTCAGGATGCTTTGTATATTTTGGGTCTCACTAGCCCCTTTAGTTTTTAGATTTGAAGGCCAGCCCATTGTCTGAGTGTTGCTGAACCTTTCTACCCCTGAGCTTGATCTTGAGCTGTACTCCTTTACTCACTGAAGTCACAGGGTTTTTCTTCCTTCCAGCAGTGTAGTTCTACACTGCCCAAAGGTGTCATAGCTTTCCAATCTATCTGAGGTGGCTGTTTTGAGTTGTCCCGATTTCTTTCTGGATTCCTGTCACATATAGCTTTGCTTTCTCATCTTTGACTTTTAGTTTATTAATCCTCCTTCGGGTTGAGTATATTTCCCATTCAGAGCATCTTGGAGCCTGCCTCCTAATCTACTCTGCCTGTTTTTTTTTTATTTTATTTTATTGTATCAAGACTAGTTATATTAAAGATTATAGCTTACCTTCTCTGCCTCATGCCTGCTATTCCACTTTACTGCTATAATTTGTCCACCTTATGTCCTCATTCCACTGTCTGCCTGTTCATTGAGGCCTCTCTGCCACTGTTGCTGGAATCCTGGTATCCCTTCCTCTCTCTCTCTCTGGAATGTCCTTCAGCATTCTTCGTAGGGTTGGTTTGGTGGCCATGAACTCCCACAGTTCCTCCTTGTCTTGGAAACATCTTATTTCTCCATTAATTTTGAGAGAGAGTTTTTCTGGGTACATCAGTCTTGGCTGCAAATTATTTTCTTTCAGGGCTTTGACTATTTCCCTCCAGGCTCTTCTTGATTTGAGAGTTTGTGTTTATAAGTGTGTTATTTTGATAATTTTCCCATTGTAGGTAATCTGCTTCTTTTCCCTGGATGCTTTTAGTATTCTGTTCTTTTGGTAGATTTCTGGAATCTTGATTATTATATGTCTGTGTGTAGATCTGTTTTGGTTGTAGGTGGCTGGAGTTCTGTATGCCTCATTTATTTGGATATTTCTTTTTCCTATGCTTGAAAGTTTTCCTTTAGTATATCTGTGAATATTCTTTCTAGTTCATTTTTGGTTACTCCTGCTTCCTCACTCACGTGCCTCATTCTTAAGTTATATATCCTTTTGTGTATCTTTTGTCATCTTCTAGCATTTGAATTGTTTCTTTCTGGTTCCTCATTAGTTTTACAGGTCCTTTCTATCCAGATCATGTGTCATAAATCTCTCTTCAAGTTTCAAAAGGCTAACTTTAGTTTCTGTCAAGACATTTTGCCAGTTTTCAATGGAGTGTTTAGTTTTCTGGTAATCTCTTTGGATCTGTTTCATTTATGCTAGGTTAAGTTTAAATTCTTCATCAGAGGTTTCTCTTTCTTTTCTGATTTCCTCCATTCTTCCATCTGTGTTCTCTTGGGAGGGACTTATCATTTCTTTAATTATTGTTTTTATATTCTGCCTCACTTGGATCAAAAGTACAGTTTTAAATTCTCTATGAGGTCATGAAGGTATTTCTTTATGTTCCCTGATGCTGTGTCTAGTATTGGATGGTTACTGCACTGATTCTCTTCTGTATTTACTTCTCCTGGGCTTATTTTCCCAGGTTCGGCAGCTGGAGATATTTTTTTTATTTCTATCTCTTGTCATGTTTCTGGTCTCTTTCAGACTGGTGCGTCCTTTGGGTCTCTGGCCCTCTCTGTATTGCTTAGGATCTTTCCGAAGCATGCTGACTGGAGTTTTTGCTGCCCTCCCCAATTTGCTGTTATCTGAGGTACACGCAGGGATGCAGGGATGGTGCAGGCTAGCCTCCCCAATTTGCTGTTATCTAAGGTACACGCAGGGATGCAGGGATGGTGCGGGCTAGCCTCCAGCCTCTAAGCCAGTCAATCCGCAAGTTAGGCTATATGTTGTAGACATCACAAAGTCACAACAATTTTGTATGTGCTTATTGGGTCCCAACCAGAGACGCAGCTCAGCTCCAGCAGACCCTGCGAGTTCTCTCTGCACCAGGGCAGCTGACTCATGTCACCACGGCACTGGGTTCTGCCCAACTCCAAGCAGTCCTCTACCAGATCTTTCTGCACCAGGGGCGACTATCTGATGTCACTGCAGCACCAGGCTCTGCCCAACTCCAAGATGTTTTCCACCAGTCCTCTCTGTGTCACTGATGCTGCTGTGGCACCAGGCTCTGCCCAATTCCAAGATGTCCTCCAGCCAGCAACAGCAGCCGCGGGACCCAATCCCTAGCACTCACTGGGAATCAATGCAGATCTTCCTCTTGGGTCCACTGCACACTGTGCCATCCGTGTGTCTTCACTGCCTTCCCAGTACAGCGCAGATCGGTCAGTAAACTGTGTGGTGACTGTCTTCGGAGCCCAAGAGTTTCTCGCAGTCTCCTCCGGCGTGGCCAGGTGGCTCTGGCAGCTTTGCGGGGGCTCCAGGTCCCAATTTGCAGTAGTCACCGAAAGCCAATATAGCTCCTCCTCTTGGATCCATTGCTCACTGCACCGCATCCTCCCGTTAACGGGTTTAAATTCTAGCAACAAATTAACTCTCTATAGACAACTCAGCAGCATCAACTCAGGAAATAACCATTGTGCAGCTTTAGGGTCTCACAGGATATTGCCTATACATGCTGTATCTTGTAAAAGTCACAGAAAGCTGCCCATTCAGCTAGGTTTCTCTCCACAATGTGCTAGAGGTAAGCACTTTGATGTCATGACACTAGAAGAGCCCTCCCCAGGAAAATGTTTTTTAAACTGGAAAAGAAAAATTTCTTCATAGGATAAAAGAATGACAACACCTTAAAACAATGTATGCCATGGGGCTAGGAATTTAGCTCAGTGGCATAAGCACCTGCCTTGCAAGTGTGTGGTTGTGAGTCCCGGTACTGATAAAAAAAAGAAAACAATGTACGCCAAAGACAATGAAGCAACACCTCTTCCAAAAGTCAACCTAAAATTCTATACTGATAAGGAAGTGCTTTCAAATACAATGGTGAAACAAAGACTTTATCAGACATATAACAGAACTAATTTAAGCCAGTTATGACAGCACACTCCTATAATCTTAGCACTCTAGGAGACTGCGGTAGAAAGAGCACAAATTGTACCTCAACCTGCACGGTTTACCAACTTAGCAAGACTCTGTTTCAGAAGCAAAAAATAAAAGGGGCCTGAAAACAAAGCTCAGTGTAAAAACCATCGGAGAAATGCCCTCAATCCCCGAAGACTGATAGACAGCAGTAGTAATAGTAGTTATTGTTGTTGTCGTCATTGTCATCTTAAAAAGACAGGCTCAATCTCACACACTGCTTTCTCTAATAGATTCTCACGCTTTTTAGTGGGATCTAGGTCTAAATCAGAATCTATGCACAAAAGTTTTGAAACTGAAGTTGGAGCGTCCTTTTTTAATTCCTCCAAAAACCATAAAGTACGATAACCTTATTTACCCACCACAAGATGAAATCTATCAAAAAAGAAATCAGAGCTATCACATCCAAATAAATTTAAGGGGCAAAAAGAGACAGACTATCAGTAACATTCAATTTTGTGATCCCATTTGCTTGCAGTCCACCAGAGAAGCCACAGTCTAACCTCAAATTTTGATTGTTCAGCTCATCTCTTTTGTGCATGAAACTACCAACACTTGCCTGTTTCAATAAATATCCCCCTTATTCTTAAGCAATGAAAGGTGTGAATTTTTGCATGCTAAGATTAGCTGCTTGTAATATATGCAATTCCTAACATCTCACATTTCACATTTTTCACTTTGACTTTCATTTATATAAAGTAAATGCAATTTTACATTCACTTTCATTGAACTGAATAAAACATGATATATTTTGATTCATACATCTCTCTCTTTTTTTTTTTTTTTTTTTTGTCTTTTTCCTTTTCATCGGTACCAGGGATCGAACTCACGACTGTCTACTTGCAAGGCAGGCGCATATGCCGCTGAGCTAAATCCCCAACCCCAATTCATACACCTCTTTAAATGCCTTAAATTAAACTAGACTACCACTGCTATATACCTACTGAAAGTGATAAAAAGAATCTCTACCTTCTCCCCACAATCTCAAATATAAAAGGAAATGATGTGGCAAGAATGACTCCTAGTAAAAGAAAATTACCAATATAACTGTTTCCTATTGAAATAAATTTATATTATCTTTAACACTTGGCATTTGTTAATAGAAATTGGCCACTGCAAGAAGTTTTATTAAAAGGAATTTATTTTTCTTTAACTTGGAAAAGGAGACTCTTTAGAAGTTATTTTTTCAGCCTAATACAAAAGATAGAATATTGACTATTAATTTTAAAACATTTATGGATCTTTTTCTTTGCAATAAAGATCATTCAAAAAGAAAACATTTTTCATTCAGCTGCCACTTACTGCTTCCAGCTGCTTCTTCTTCTGCACTAGTAACTCCAACATGAGGTTGACATTGGCCAAATCGAGGTTGTCTTGATCAGCTCCCAGTAAATCTTGAAATATTTGCCACCTGTGGCCATTCTGAAAGTGGAGAAACACAGTAACTTCCTAATAAGATTGTCGTATACTGTCTAAAACGAGGCTTAACTGCTACTTCCCACTTATCACACAGGTATCAAAAATATGTTGGAAATACAGAATTATATAGATACCAAAAAAAATTGGAAATAATTTTCTAAGCAACAAGTTTCCAACTACTGGCTCCCATACTCTTCTAGTTATAATTTAAACACCATTTTCTCCTTTAAATGAATTCAGACAACAGATACCAAAGTCTCATAAACAACAAATGTTAATAGAATCTCTAAAGATATTTCATTTCAAAACAAGTAAATGGATTTGAATTATCTACTACATTTTCAACTTTGCAAAATATTAATTCAAAATAACTTTGTGTCAGTAATTTGGAGCTAATCCTTTTGAACTAAGATTTTTTTTCGAAATATATGACCAGTTTCTCTTTACCATAAATAATCCTTCAACTGTCATACCCTACAGGCCAATTCCATCTCAATGTGATTTCACTAGATCTTTCAAAACATAATACTCTTTTGTAAGATGTGCTGGCATACACCTATAATCCCAGCACTTGTGAGACTGACACAGGCGACTGCTATGAATTCGAGGCCAGCCTGGGTTACAAAGGAGCTCAAAGTAAGCCTAAACTACGTACACGGGGGGACTCTGTATCACAAAAGGGGTAGGACAAGATGATACTCTTAATACCATGATGTTGTTATTTGAAGAAAATCATAGAGTCCCTTTAAGAAAGTTAAATTACATACTAAACTGTAACATTTAGTTAATAACTAAATTGAAATTTATTAAAAATAGTAATAAGAGTTGAAACATACGGTGCTACTCACTGAGTGGTCCAATTTGAACCTCTTTTCCTCAAACCTTTGCTTTTGTTTGAGAATGAGTTCATTCACTGAAAACAAAAACAGAAAGTACACCTAAGCTGTATTCTCTTATATGTATTTTCTAATTGTTCTGTTTACACAGGTTGTATTTTAACTTTACAAAATCTGAAAATTTAAAAAAAAAATCATACACAAAAAGTATTAGGTTTTTATATTTCAAAGTTTTCTTGAATCTGTTACTACTACAATTTCTATTACCACAGGAAAACTGTTTAGAATATGGACTTTCTCTTACATGTTTCTCAAGGATGATACTACTGGGTACTAGGGAGAGATTATTCTTTACTATGTGTCTCATGTTCTATAGAGTAACAGGCATAGGTAACTGAGCATCCATAACCATCAAAGACTTGCTTTGCAACTTTTCTGTAACATTATGGAAGATTCTATCAGCCTTCCAACAAAGCGCTCAAATTCTGCTTCTTATATTAGTATTCCTATAACTATCTACAACTCATGACTCAAACCATTTAAAAATTTTAAAAAATGCTTCCAAACATAAAGCTAAAAATGATTCAGTTAGTGTAAAGTCTCAAGCATTTGACATATATTATTTATTTTCAAATACACATTTTCAAAATTGTACCTTTTAATTGAGAACTGTTATCTCTAACTGAAGAACTAAGCTGAAGCAAAAATCCACTGTATGTTTTTTCTTGATAACATGGTTTTTTCCCTAAATATCAGGCTACTATAATTTTCAGAAAGGCTAGATCTTGCTCCAATTACACTATGTGATTCTTGACTAACCTAAGCAAATATACTCATCCATATCCTTTGCAGTGATTGATGTGGGCTTAAGTATGTAATTTGGTTTTAACCAATGAGAGGTATGCTGTCTTCCAATTACAGGCCTTTATAAGAGAATGTTTACTAGATATAGTTAATCACCTTTAAATCCTGAATATAGCTGACCACAGAATCAGGGAGATGCTAAAAATGCAAGAACAAATGGAACAGTATCATACAGAACCACTGAATTAACTAGCTCTGAAAATACTTCTGCATAAAGTTTAATTCAATGTAAGTTTTTTTTCTGGGTTGTTTCATTCTCTTTTAACAACTAATACATTAACTAATACCAAAAAAAAAAAAAAAAAAAAAAAAAAAACCTAAAAACTGATAAAAAAAAAAAAAGGGTAAACAAGCACTATGCTAACAAGTCACTTTATTGACACTACCTTTCAAGATATTCTTTGCATTTAGAGATAAGGAAATACTTGGACAGGGAGCATAAATAACATATAGTCCTATATAGAACAAGATAGAGGTGAGATTCAAACACTATTGTCTAATATTTCCCACTAGACCACAATGCAATCACACATATTCTGGAAAAAAATATAGATTCAAAACCTATGGATCCAAGTCTCAAAGATGAACAGAGCAACTAAAGACCTGAAAAAAATTCAAACTAGCAAGATAGCAGTTGTAATGCTGTATGTGATCAGCACTATCAATGAAATAGATCTTATGAAGTACAAATATTTACAAAGCACACAGGCCAGAATCAATCAAAGCACAGTACTAACTAGGAGAACTTAGATAAAGTTGATATAGGAACTGGGCCAAACAGACATACCGAGATTCACTAAGCAGAAAGATGAAACAATTCAAAAAAGGAGTTGGTACAGCAAAGTCATAAAACAGTTGAAGACAAGAAGATATAAAATAGATAAAGCAGAGGCATGAGTCAGGGTGAATTTGTGAATGATTATTGAGGCTAATCACAAAGACTAGAAATGTAGGCAAGGTGAAGTCTGACATTAAAAAGCCTAAAATATATGTACTTCACAAAGCTAGAGTAATCTACAGATGATAAAAGAACTTCAAATAATACAGTGCAAATAAACAGGAATAAGTAAGAGTTTAATGTTTCAATTACAGAAGCAACCAGCTGAGTAAGAATTATAATTTAACACATCCCCTCACTGGCTTGAACCATTAGCATGAAGTGCCTAACTGTCCCATCTTGTCTGGTGGGACAGTCACCCATGTACCTCCTGTGGTTCACAGCTATCTGGCAGCAAGGCATGAGAATTACAAACCGCTTGTCAAAATGTAAAAAAGCTGTACTACTTTACGTGCTACTGCTTTTTACTAAGAAATTTCACTGACATGTTTGATTCTTGCCAATACCTTTAAGTACAATCAAGCTTTTAAAATGCCCCAAAGTTAAACTGTAAAATAATTATGGCAAATGAAGTAAAAAAGAAAATGTATTTGCTGGTATGCAGTATTTAATAACAAGACTGTTTCCCCTTTATAAGCCATAAACTTTACCTGAGAAATAAAAAAGTAATTTTGTAGCAAACTTCATTTCTTTATCAAATGAACACTTTACTTTTACACATTACAATTTTACAATGGACTTAACATTCAAATTGCCAACATGTCAAAGTCATCCAAGTTACACATTGAGAAAAATCTTTCAAAAGTTACGCCATAACTTATACATAAGTAAAGCTGTATGATCAATTCCTTTCTGCAACTTTGAAAACTTATTTAAAAAAATAAAAAGCAAGGTTTTGAGCCAGGCATGGTGGCACATGCCTATGACTCACTCAGGAATCTACAAGAGAAGGTCCACTATCTTGACATTAGCCTAGGTAATGCAGCAAGCTCAAGACCATTGTCAGTAACATTGTGAGAGTGCATCCCGAAATGACAAAAAAGCATCAACAAAAAGCAATGTTTTGCTTTTAGCTTTCTATTCATACTACAAATTAAAGCATTTATTGATTCAATCTCTGTCTTGAGCACCTAGGTATAATCACTGAATATATCAGGAATCCATCATTTGTTGAGTTCCTATGACCTGAGGGTTTGGATCACTTTTAGCTAACACTTTCATATTTCCAATCAAGTTAGGCATTCATCTGAAACCAAGATCAGTTATTAGAGCTGAGATTAAAACTGAAATTCAATTTATACATTAGTTAATTATACTACATCTCTGTATTCTTATGCACAGAACTTATAAAAAATCTATTAAAAATGCATTTCTACTGGTCTTCTAGCAACTGTCTTCTTAAAGGCAACTAGCAAAATTAATGCGTAGTACTGTTGAATTAGACTGCTTAAAACCAAATGCCAATTACAATAATTATTTATGCCATAGTTTCCTCATCTGAAGAATTAGAATAACAGCAGTACCTATCTCACAAAATTACCAAAAAGAGAGTGCACACACAAAAAGCACCTCAAAATAGTACCTGGATACAGTAAAGTACTTGTGCTTTCGCTATGTTTTTTCCTAACAGTCTTTTAACATTTCATGTGTGATACTTTTTACACTGATGAGAAAGAACATTCATTACAAAAGTATGAAAATTTAATTTATAAAATTTTATATTCAGAAAAATCTACAGAAAGGCAGTGAGGAAAAGTGCAAGAGGGGCGCGCACACACACCTGGCAGAAGGGTGATGTCAAGACGGGGCAGGACCTATAGGAGCCTAGAAGAGAAACTGCTCGCACTAGGAGAGACTGAACATGTGTTCAGAGTACCGTAGCATGTGTCCAAATTTCTGTCCTTTTTCACTGTAAGAAATATTCAACTGCATATATATATACTTTTTATTTTTAATCTATTTGTCCCTCCATAGACAATAGGGCTGCTGCCATTCTTGGTTCTTGTAAACAATCTTGCTATGGACATGAGTATAAAAATACTTTTTCTTTTAGGCCCTGCTGCTTTGGATATATACTCAAAAATGGAATTGCTGTGACATACAGAAATTTTGTCTTTAATGTTTTGAGGAACCACCAGTGTTTCCATAGTGGTTATATCATTTTATGTTCTCACGAAGAGCACACAGGGATTCCAATTTTTCCATACAACTTGTTACACTTTTTGTTTTCATTTTCTTTTTCTTTTGTTCCCCTACCCTTTTTGATAGCAGTCATCCCAACAGGTTTGTAATTTATATATTCTTATTTCCTTTCTTTGTCCCCCCCCCACTTATTGACATTTTATTACAAAGAATGTCTTAAAAGATATAAATGAGGAACCAGATGCAGAAACACATAGGGGAACATAGGTAGGAAAGGGCATGAAACTAACGTTTTCTCCAAATACGGCACCTTCCCACAACCCCATGTGTTCAGAAACATGTAGGTCTCTCTGAAAGGCATTATTATGTTACCATATTAATTAAATCATTGGTTGGCCACCAGTGATAAACTAAACTTTTATTCTCTTTATCCCTTCCTGGGATGGCATGGGTTGAAAGTTCCAGCACTCAGCTACGTGGTTCATTCCTCGATTACCAGTTACAGTGAGGCTGCCAGGAGCTCCCAGGTATCAGTCATTGCTTTTACTTGTTTATTTTTTGACAGGAGATGGAACATTCTATTTGTAGGCTGTGATCTTCATAAATTATTCATTTATTCTCTTAGCTTTAAGGATTTAGCCTTAGTCTTTCTGTTGTATTCTAACAGTCTTTATATTACAATTCATACTGGAATTGGACCCATAATTTTATGTAGAAGTTGTAGTTGATATGTGGCAGGTTAATAACCATGAAAAGTATTGGGCATAAGCACTCCACCCAGGAGCCACTCACACTTAGGAAAAAGAGGGCTCACAAGAGTAAAGGAAAAGAACAGATTATGTATGTACTAGACAGAAGGAAAGAAATGGAAGAGAAAGAAGATACTATGGAAGGCTAAGTATTTTCCAGCAGGTAAAATCTAAAACACAAGTATTTATCATACCCTAATAAGCACTCTTTAGAATGAAGAGTAAACCTTTTCTGATATATTTATATTTCTGATATATATATCCCTAACAGGGAACAATTTCATGACTATCTATATCTGAGAGTCTGGCTTTTTATTCATTCTCAAAACTGTCAGACTAAAGGTATCTCACAGTATCTTAGGCTATTCAACACGTAGAATTTTTTTACGGTGACAGCCTCTGACTACCTATTACTTCCAACCATTTACCATTCATAAAGGTTCATGCTTCTTTTCCAATTCTTACCATTTCTGTTTCAAACATTCTGTTACCTATGTCTTCCTTCCTCAGTTCTGTCTTTTCAACTTTCTTACCACTTCAGAATCTTTCCTCTCCTACTCAGGAATCTTCATATCCAACTTTTCTCTCCCATTTTACCTCATTATCCACCAAATATGTTTTCCCTCCCTATTAACTCTCTCCTACATTGCTTCTCACTTCTGCCCCACTCAAAAGCCAAAGCAGAAGAATGCATACTGCTGCAGAGAGACACAAAATGTTCTGGACCACTAGCATTCTCCTCAGCCTCACATCCTGCCCAGCCATCTATGCAAGATTCTACAGCCTCTGTGAATCTCCTTTTGCGTTTTGATGAAACTTTATACTACATACTTAGAAGTATAGAATCTACGCTATAACCAAGAGGAGAAACACATTCTGGTGAGTACAGACAAATTGACTTGTGCATGAGCTACGCTTTTTGAACAAACTAGTGCTAGCATATATTTTGGGGGAAAGAACATTAAAAAAAAATTCCAAAGACTCACCCAAGAAATTAGGATAGAGATGGTCAATATTGTCCACAACATAGTTACACTTGGGACATCTATTATTGTCCTCCAAACTCTGATGAATACACTTGTAGCTATTAGCAGGGAAAAATAAAAGAAGCTTAATTAAATCAATGAAAAATTAACAAGCTTGTCACAAAATATCATCTATTAGCTTTCTAGTCTTCATTTTCAACAAAAATTCTGCTTATATTTTCACATCATAAACAAGATAGGGTATTTATTGGGTGAGCAGTATACAAGCATTTCAAAGATAACTTAAAAAACCTACTAGATATAAAATTTAAAGATGTACTAAATTTAGATTTATACAATTTGTATAGTACAAACACTAGAAAAGCAATTGCTAATGGTTTAAACAAAACATTCATGTTCTTGGGCTGCTGATATTCTTAATACACAAAGAGCTTATTCAAACTGAAAGAAAATCCAAATAATTGAGAAAAGACAAAAATTACTCAGAGAATAAGAAAATCACTGCCTTCACTAGAAACCAAAAAAATGATTCAAAATTATATACATATGAGGTTTCACTAGCCAGAATGGAAAAATTCAGAATACTTTAACAGTTAAAGGAATGCACATGGTTATGAATGCTATACACTATTAGAGAAAATGGAACCAGCACAACTTTCCTAGAAGCCAAGTTACACGAAAACTCTTAGAAGTCTATATTCATCCATAAGATAGGAATTTTTTCTTAGGAAATAAGTATGTAGTAAATTTTCAATGCAGGGTTATCTGTAAATAGCAAACTAAAATAGAAACATGCTAAATACTACAAGACTAAGTAAATTTATAAACAGTAATCCAATGCAATGCTATACCACCAATAAACATCATATTGTATTATATGCATATAAAAATAACATTAACAGTTATCACTGGAAAAATATGACCACAGGAAATTTTGCCTTTCATATGTTGTATTTCTATACTGTTTAATATTTACAACTGTGTACTATCTTAAAATAAATTCTTTAAATATTGTTCAACCAAATCACAGAAAAGCAATGAAGTGACATGAGAATAACTACTATTATAATCACTACCTTCCTGGAGAAAATTAGCAATCTACCACACAATGGATAAACATATCTCACATGTGCTAAAAAAAAATTATATATAGATATATATTCTCAACAAATTGAGACATTTACTACAATCTTAACAGTATTTGTGAGTTTTATGAGATATTATAGATGTCTTCAGCCCTCTATGGTAAATACTACTTCAAACAATTAGGAAAAAATTGATTCCTGAGAAATTAGAAGGGTGATTTATAGACATCTTTCCTAAAAAGAAAGCAAACTTTTCATTCTTTATCTAAATTACTATAAATTTATTTCAACTTTATAAACTGAAGGTGATTTTTGCATTGACTTGCCTTCTGAACAAATGAAAATACCCTAGATCCACAAAATTTCACTGTTCTGGATACCAAGTACTTTCTCATTTCCTATTTGTTACTTTCGAGATAAGCAAAAAGGAGAAAAGTACAAAGAATCCAAGTAACCCTGGTCTTTGGCACAGTACAGGAGTCTGAAGATTGGAGTAAATGCCTGGCATATAACACAAATTCAAAAGTCTATTAAAAATGACTCTCACAGGTTCTAGAAACAATATTATCATTACTGACAATTATTACAAGGCTAGCATTACCATATTATCATAAACTATGCTTCATATCTGACTGAAATTTCCTTAAGAGGAAATTACAGTGATGCAAATAACATTTTAAATGTTTTTGTCTTCATATTACAAAGGAGAAGCATAGCATGCATATGCATTACACTAAGAATTCCAACATGGAGAAATTTACAGTATGTTTAAAATAAAAGAAAATGAGTTAATATTACCAGGAAACAACTGTTACTTGCAAAAATGTACTTCGTTTAAAAAATCTGCAAATTCAAATAAAGCAAGTCATGAAGCAGACTCTGGGAAAGTTATTAAAAATGCGAGAGGATGACAGAAAGGTGAAAAGTTGAGTGTTGGCAAATAGTTTCCATTAAAAAATAGAAAAATTGTCAATATAAGATTTGGGAGGGGTACCAGGGATCGAACTCATGACCTTGTGTTTGCTAGGCAGGTGTTTATGCCACTGAGCTAAACCCCTGGCAAAAATTATTCCAGAATCAAGTAGATAGTGCCCTCTTTTACTTTCATGTAATCACAAAATTTAAGCATATCAAATTACATACCACTGTCTAAATAAAACTATGCTCTGAGGGTTTATGTCTGATTCCTAGTCTCTTCCTCTCTGGCACTGCCTCACTGCTCTCATTCTTTCCCAGTATCCATAAACTAAGTAGCCTTACTCTCCCATATCCTTCCACTATGATGTTTCACCTTGACCCAACTTACTACATACTTCAATCCCTTTAAAACGTGAGCCAAATTAAACTTCTCATCTTTTAACTTGTGGATGTTAAGTACTATATCTTAGTAAAGACAAAGCTAATAGCATCTACTACCTCACTACCATCCCAGAGTAAACCTTTCCACGTAACTATCATGTATGTGATTGTCAATACCTCTTCTATTTGCTTATTAAAAGAATCTCCAATATCATCAAAATAAACCAACATATACATTAAATCATACTTTTAAAAATATAATAAAGAATAAGTATTGCTCTATAGATGCATAAGGTTATCTGTTCCTTCTATTTGACAAAATACAAATGTCTTTTTACAAAAATAAGCAAACATACAAGACTGCATTTTCAAAAAATTTCAGAAAAAGGAATAAAAATAAACCGGTACCAGTCATCAAACATAATAACCAGTATAAACACTAAGAACATAGTATAATATGATGACCTGATGTTGCAAAAGACATCCCAACACCCAGGCTGATCGCCTATATACTGGGATTAGAATCAACTTGTAATGAAGCAAAGCAGTGAAGTCAGAACTCGACAGATATGAGATCTGAGAAGCAAAGTGCAGGAAACAATCCAGAAGCAGCAAGGAGGCAAAGACAAAGAGCCAATTTATCTCTATACTACACAGAAGCCAGGTTTTTTTATTAATAAATCATTAAGTTTAGGCAGAAGTGCTTGCCGTATTTTTACAAACTTGCTACTAGAAAAGACTAGTCATTTACATGTGGAATGAGAGGTATTTGTGGGTGTCCATTTTGAGGTTGTGTCAATAATCTGGATGGAGTTATACACTGCTAGGCTTCCACTTACCAGCCAAAGTTACAATAAAAAGACAGGTTCACACATGAGGTTAAATAATTATGAACTTTTGCTTTAAATAAAACTGCAAAGAAGGTTCACAGTACATAAAGATTCACATTAGGACAAGCTCTAGGTTTATCAGCTCCTGCCCAACACAGTCTCTATGCAATGAAACCTTGCTCTTGGGAAGGTGTTTTAAAATACATTCACATTAAGGTATAACACAATGGTAAGTTAAATTATAATTAGGTTCTAAACCTAAATCAATTTGAGGGGGGAAAAGTCATTTAAAACATCAATGATGTTTCCAACAATAACCTAAACAACATGACAATAATAGGACTCATTGAAAAGGCAAGGTCTGTGTAGTTATATGGTCAGTTAGTAATTTACTACATTTCACAGCACAGTGAAGCATGATTACTGAAACTGATCCAGAGTCTTTTTTAAATACCACAGTACACATAAAGTTAAAGGCGAACAATTAGCAAAAGTAAAAACTCCTCTTTATAATCTGTTTAGCACTTCAAAAACTTTAAGTCATGAAGGAAAAGAAAGTGGAAGGAGTAAGGATAGAATGAGGAAAGGAGAAGGATGAAAGAGAGGAAAAAACAAACAGAAGTCCTGATCTATATAAATAAGAGCTAGCTCTAGATCAACATTTCTTAACTGTAGGCAATTTTCTTCCCCAAGGAATATCAAGAAATGTCTGCAAACATTTTTGATTTTCACAACAGAGTGAGGAGCTGCTACTGGATATAAGATAAAGAAGAAGTATTTCTCTATAGATACATAAGGTTATTTTATGATGACATAACTATAATATACAGGACAGTCACTCCAACCAAAAATTAATTGATCTAATATCTCAATAGTCCCAAGGCTGTAAAGTCTCCACTAGATCACTTAATTTTCCAGAATATTCAAGATCCAAAAACTTTTAACTATATGGTTTTCTATGGAATGTTTGGGAGGTGGATCAACTGAATAATCAGGAACCATTCACATACTACCATAGAAGGGACAACTACATAACCAGAATTTCATTAGCAATATGGAGCATAAAGCAAGCCATAAATCATAACAATATTAACACAAACACAAAAACTGAAATATATTCAAGAAAATAAAGAAAAAATTCTGAAAAAATATAATCATTCTATCCAAGTGACAACACCTGAAGATGTTGAGATCAAGGAAATGAAGATTTACACTTCATATTACATCTTCTGCACAGTAAAAGGCTTCTAAGTCAATTTGTTTTAATAAAGAATCCAACCTAAGGTATTCTAAACTATTTTAAAAACCTATTTTTATTCTAAACTATTTTAAAAACCATCAAATTGGATATGCCTATTCCTGAAACATGATTCAGATGAAACTAAAGGATTTATAGATTGGTGCTAACACCAATATCTTTCATGACTAACGGATATTAATCTGCTGCATATAACTATAAATTCAACATAAAATTATGGGTCTAGTTTCAATATGAATTGAAATGTAAGGACTATTAGAATACAATAAAAAGACTAAGACTAAATCCTTATGCCAAGGGAAGAGGTAAATAATTCATAAACATGACAGATTACAAATAGGATATACCACTGCCAATCAAAAAATAAACAAATTAAATTAATGTCTGATATCTGGGAGGTCCTGGTAGCCTCAGCTGGTAGTAAGGGAATGAAACAGATAGCTACACTCATCTTCCATCCTCAGGAAGGAGGGAAGAGACTAAAAGTTCAGTTGACTACTCATGGCCAATCAACAATTTAATTAGTCATGACATCACAAAGTCTCTACCAACCCAAGAGGACAGAGTTCAGAGAACTATGTTTCTGAACACTTGTGGGTGCAGGCAGGTGGAATGCTTGGAGAAAGCATGAAAGTTCCATGCCCTTTCCTATCTACCTTACCCAATATATTTCTGCATTTCATTCATTTGGATCCTTTAAAACATCCTTGGTAATAAATTGTCAATAGTAAGTGAGCAAAAACAAAATGGCAAAGAAAGGAATTAAACATACACAGATTACATATCTGCTGGGATGATTATTATCAAAAATATGGAAAAGTAAACAACAAAAAGAAAACAAGATATATACCAAGTTAGATGGAAAAATTAGAACTCCTCTGTGCTTACTGATGAGAACATAAAATGCTATCACTTAGGAGGCATACTGACACATTTCTGTAATCCCAGCATTAGGAGACTGAAGCAGGAAAATGGCATGTTCAAAGCCAGTCTAGATCACATAGCAACCTGCACTACTGAAGCAAGGTCAAGGCCTAGCTGGACTATATACTGAGACACTATCTCAAAGATAAATAACTCAATATGACCAAATAAGTAAATAAATAAATAATAAAATGGTATAACCACTATGGAATAGTAAGGTGGTTTCTCAAAAGCTTAAAAACAGAATTTATGTAAAATTTAGCAATTCCAATTCTGATTTAAATCCGTGCAATAGAAGTATTTTATATCTATGTTCAACCACACCATTCAGAAGAACCAACACAAGGAAGAAATCCTACTTTCCTTGGAGAGATGAATGGATAAAACAAATGTGGTCTCTACATACACTGGCATATTACTCAGTCTTAAAAAGGAAAGAAATTCTAAATTAAACTATAGCAATACAGATGAACATACAAGACATTATGCTAAGTCAGTTAGTAACCAAAAAGCCATTATTGTGTAATTCCACTTATGTAAGATTTCTGGAGTTGCCAAATTCATATAAAAGGAAGTAGAATGGTGGCTGTCAGAAACTACAAAGAAGGAAAAACAGGAAGTTGTTTTTAATGGCTACACTCTTCCAATTTTTGTATAATGAAAATGTCCTGGAGATGGTGTACGCAACAAATGAACATACTCAACAATACTGAACTGTACATATCGAAAAGTTTAGAACCAAGCTAGGTGTGATGTCATACACCAGTAGTCCCAGCAGTCCAGAAGGGTGAGGCAGGAGCTTGGGCAAATTAGTTATTCAGAGGGACACTGTTGCAAGTTAAGGGCTGTATAGCTTTGTGGGGAACTCAGGGGTTCAATTCCCAATGCCAAAAAAAGAAGGAGGAGGAGGAGAAGAAGAAGAATAATTCCACAAACAAACAAACAAACTGGAAACACATTTCAGTGCAAAGGCCCTGGGTTCAGTTCCCAATATGCAAAAACAAAACCAAGCAAACACAAGTGCTGTTAAGGCTGTAAATTGTGTTGTATTTTATCCCAATTAAAAGTGTGTAAATACACAAAAAAATGTGACATGATATAATCTACAGATAACACTGAGCAATGTATTAAAGAGAATCAGAACTTAATCCGCCATAATTTTTCCACCATGTTCTGAGCTTACAACCTATTCCAAATGTTTGGTCCTAATGCTTATCATTCTCAATTTTCCTAAAACAGCAAAGTACTTGATAACAATTAATAAAAGGCAAAGTTTTAAAATCCATATTTAATCTCTACGGTAAACCTAAATATAGTACTTCACACAAACTATGTACCAACCAAATGTTACTATCTTGAACTGGCAACTCTGCAAAGACATGTCAATTAAGAAAACAATATAAAGTTAGTTTAAAAAGTATTATTTTCCTGACTCCATTTATACATTACTTAAAAGTGCTGAAAGACTATTTGACTGAATAAAATCATCTTACCAAAAGCTGTGGCCACATTTTGTCATGTATGCTTCCTCAATCATATCAAAGCAGATGGGGCTAAAAAAAATAGAAAATAATTGATAATTTTAAAAATAATTAAAATTGGACATGAAATCAAATTAAGAATTAAGTTTTCTAACCTATCAAGGATTGGTAACATTGCTACTGAGTTCAACTTTAAGACATTGATGGTAAAACACCAATCTATTCCAAACCACCCAAAGACCATGAATACCAAAATTAATTCAATGGTTCAATTTAAATTTATCAAAATTAACTCAGCCCATAATTTTCTTAGTGCCCACTAATCACCAGAGCCCTCAAGGAAATTATCATCTTATTCCACATATCCCTACTTCATACTCAAAGTCACCTAACCAGATCTGTTTTAATCTAAATGTTTTCTTTTCCCATTCCAAAGAAAACAAAACTCTGAGTAATAAATTTATAATTTTAGTTTCAAAAATACTTGTAGATAATGCAGTGATAATACTCAAAATAAGGCAAACTATATACCCCTTAAACCTATGACATGCATTAATTCATTTAATCCTTCCTACCAAATGATGAGACACATTCTTATTACTAGAGCCATTTTATAGATAAAGAAATTGAGGTACAAAGCTGTTGAAGTTATTGAACCAGGAATTAACAAAGCTAAAAACTGCCCTATTTGGTTTTCTGATACTTTTGAGTTAAATTCCAATTCTGTTCCTCCTTTGCTTGTTTTCTAGAAAAGCAAAAGCGGAATGTTCAAAAGTCAAGCCTTTTTGGAAGGAGGGTGGGCCATACACAGACCTTGACATGAGCAGACAGCATCAGTCCCAAGACAACAGGACACTGCTTATAGAAGAAAACCGTAAAAATTTCTTTCATCCTTCTCTTTCCATCCTTCCTCTAATTATGGCTCTAGTGTCCAGAGATTCAACAGCCACCTTGTGACCATTAAGACAAAAGCTATAAACCAGAAAGACAGGACATTGATTCCTTAATGACATTCCTGAGTAGCTAACTTAGCCCTGGACTGCCTACCTCTGAACTTCTCATTGTAAAGAAAAACAAATCCTTGCTTTCTTAAGCCAGTGTTCATCTGTTTTTTTGTTATAGCCATACAATTCTCATTCTTACTGGTGCTAAAGTAAGACTTAAAACTATAAACAAAAATTTACTCATTCAGGAAGATTTCTCCTTAACAGAGAACTATCCCAGAATGTGGGGAGGCAAAGTATAATGGTAGCATCAAACATGTTAAAGATGATTAGAAAACAATGGAAAAAAAAAAAAAAAAACCATGTAAGCGGACCCAATGGCTGCAATGAAACCTAGAGAAAAGACAACTGAGATACTGGGAAAGGCTGATATGGAAAAACCAACCATCCAATTCACTGAGTAGGTAAAGAGTTATGATGGAATACAATGAATATCTAATTGGTTCAATTTTGAGAAAGGACTATCATTTTGTGTTTGAAAGTCCTTAGGTATGTCATTACTAAGATACACAAATAAAAAAGGCACTCCCTTAAACTAGGTGCACTCCCTTAAACTAGGATGGTGCCTATATAGAATTAGAAACAGGAAATCCCACTATTCCTGATGAAGTCTAAAATCCCAGCAGTTTAGGAGGCCAGGCTTGAAAGTTCTAGTTCAGTCTAGAAACTAAGTGACTTAGCAAGACTTTATCTTAAAATAAAAAATAAAAACATATTGGGATATAACTCAGTACAAATGCCCTAGGTTCAATCCCCAGTGCCACAAGAAAGGAATGGAAGGAGAGAGGGAGAAAGCAAAAGAAAGGAGAGAAAGAGAAAAGGAGGGAGAGAGGCAGGAGGCAGGCAGGCTGGAAGGGTGGCTCTCTTAAGAGTACCAACAAAGGAATTAGCCTTAGTGAGTAAAATGTAAGCTGGATTCCAGGCCTAACTGTTCTCTTGATCTGACAAATTATGCAGTGTACCTGCTCAAGAGTACACAAGAGTCTTCTTAGATGTCAAATTTCCATAAAAGTACACAAGAGTCTTCTTAGATGCCAAATTTCCATGATTACCTCGGGGTGTGGGGGGGGGTGGAATGAATGAATATATATGGCAGACTTCCAAGTTTGTTTGTTTTTTATATCATTTTGAGACAGGATTTCAGTATGTAGTTCAGGCTGGCTTAAACTCACAGTGATCCTCCTGCCTCAGCTGTGATTACAGGTGTGCACCACCATGTCCAGCCTACTTCCAAGTTGTAAGCAAATTTACCATAAACAATGCTGTATTTCCCCTTATAAATCTGTTAAAATGATATGCATAGGAATAAAACAGATTTAAAACTACCATAATAAAAAGAAAAGAAATAGTTAATTGTGATAAAGATATTAAAACTCCCACAAGATAGAAAGCAGACTCAAAAGTGAATGACAAATCAAGATAAAGATACAGGCCACATCAAACACTAAAAAGAACAAAACCAAAAAGGAGGCCAATCTACACTGCATAACCCCTAAAAGGATCAACACAGAGATAAGTATGAAACAGGAAAGTTCACTATAAACAAGGATCAAGTGGAAGTCAGAATGTGCACAGCGCAACACTATTCAAGGTATAGCTCTTGAGCCAGTGCAGGTCCAAGAATTCCCAGAAATGTTTCACCAAATTCTTACGGCATGTAGTACAGAAATAAAAGGTTTAGAACATTTACCTGAATCTACTTTTAAACAATACTTGTATATAATTTTAACTGATACATTAAAAGACTATATTGATAGGGCATCACATGATGTTTCAATAAATGTATCTAATGTTCAAATCAGGGCAAAAATACTGTCATTTATTTTATGGTGATGATACTCAAAATTCCTTTTCTAGCTTTCTGAACTATGCAGTAATTACAGCTACCCTACTGTTCAATACAATAGAGTTTATTTCTCCTATCTAACTATATATTAGCACTCATTGATCAACCTTTAGGATCAAAGGACATTTTTTCTGTGCCTGGTTTACTTCACTTTACACAATAACCTGTAGTTCCATTTATGCTCTGGAAACTATATCATATATACGTTTTATTTTTTAACCTGTTCACCTGAATGAAACTCTGTGGTTTCAATATTGATTCACTTCTAAAACTAGAAACAGTTCAGGCTGGACAATGGTAAATATCCAAATTTATCATTCATTACAGAAAATCAAGGTACTGAAAATACATAAACCTTTTAAAAAGTCCCTATAAATAGGCATTTTTAAAATTTGAAACACATTTTCCCAGTTACAAAGTAAATGTTTAAAAGTCTGAATGACAAAACCATCATATCTGTTTTGTGATGCAATCAATAAAGCTTAGAAGCAAAACTGAAAATACATTAACAAAGATACCAGTCTGTTCGGAAGTCAGTCCAGACTTTCAATAGTAACAACAGTGGACATTTTTGAAATGGCCAAAGCATCCCCAATTAATCAACTGTGAATGTATATCAAAATTCTCCCAGAAAACTCCAACTTTTTAAATATGCACTCCATCAATAAACAACAGAATGAATACTGATACATGGTTCTTCACACAAAGATATATAATCAAAAGATTATGAAACTTTGAATACAATAAAAGATACATGGTCATTAATCTCCCACAAAATACCATCTCCTTCCTTCAAATACATTTGTGCCAAATCAATTCAAAACATTTACTTTCTATGGTCATTATAACTTTGGGGAAAAGCTGAAAGTTGTACAGGACCAGACACAGTGAGTAAGACAGATGAAGACAACCACGATGTTTTTACAGTAGGAGGCATCTTGTAGCAGCACTCACTGTCACTGTACGTTTTTGCCATATTTTGTAAAGACCTTCACAAAAGAAAACTTCAGATCAACTTCAGAAAGTAAGGATGATGAAATAAGTGTGTTTGAAGTAAGAGGCGTATTCTGAAGGAGAGTAATGGCAATGTGTTTTTACTATAGTAAATTTTAAAAATTTTAGCATTCACTGTATATTTTGATCATACCTCATTCAAGTAAACAAAAAAAAAAAATGCCCTTTTGACATTAGGACTTAGTAGAAGAATGCAGCTAATAAAATAAGGACTACATAGTAAGGCTAGGTAACAGTAAATGCTAAAGGAAAATAGGAAGGAAAGAAGATAAGGTGGAACAAGCCAGAGATAGGTTGCAATTTTATATGTGGTAGCCAGGGAAGCCTCAGAGGTAAGTCAACATTTAAGCAAGTGTTTCAAGACAGTGAGGAAGTGATCTACAAGGAAATCTAGAGGATAACAAGTGCCATCAGGTGGGAGAATAGCACAAGGCAAAGCTAGACAGAGTAGAAGCCACCTCAAAATGTTAACTCAAAATGTTAAGAAATATATGGCTTTTACAAGTGAATAAAACAGGAATTAATTGGAGGACTTAGAACAAAGCAGTAACATGACTTGGATACAATTACCCTGATAGGTTGAAGACACTAAGGAAGCAAAAGTAAACTTAGTAACAGAAGCTGCTAAAGTTGAAGTGAGAAATGGTACTAGAGTGGCAGAGCATAGTAACACAGTCGTAAGCCATCAGATTGTAGACGTACTTTGAAGGTAGAGCTATGATTTGCTGATGGATTAAATGCTGTGTATGAGACAAAAATGAATTAAGGGTTTTGGTCTGAAAACAAAAAATAATTGACTTCGTTTCACATAGTGCTATATTTACAAAAAAAGAATAAAACTATAGTATGTGTGTTGTGTCAAAGAATTCAATCCTTTAATACCAAAAGTTGTAACATCCAAGTTGCAATACCTGAAAAGTACTATCCTACCTGTTCTAACAAGTACCTCTTAAGGAATGTCTTCTGAGTAATATGTGAATTAAAAATAAAAAAACTGCTATTTTTTCACCAAAAGTTAGCTTTTTGACTTTCTAGAAAAATGAAATCAACTGAAATTAATCCTTTATATGCCATCTACAGCTTTGCAATTTTTGAGCTAGCAGTTTAATCTCTAACCTTTGTACAACTGAGATAGTATTTATATTAGATTCACTGTACTTATTAGTAAGATACATATGAAGTGTTCACTACAATGTCTAGTATACAAC